CATTCAGCGTGAATTTGCCATCATCAGGAATGGCTGCTGAGGCCAACACTGTGTTCTGCTTCACTGAGCATCGTTCATTTATCCAAAACCAAAGAAGCAAAATGAAAGCAAATTGCTGACATGCAAATTTGATTTGAGCTTTGATAAATACAAACAGCTGTTTGTGATGCTTCAAACAAGGCAAAAAGAAAAAAATACCCCCATGATAGAGGCTTCAAATAGCTATCAGCGATGTTCTGTCATCATTTCCCTGCCTGTCATTCTTGGACTGTGGACATATGGTGTCCAGAGGTTTTGGCACCGTGTTCATGTAATTGGTTACAGGCCCTAATTTTAAACTTCAGCTGGTGTTACAATATCAAACCAAAAAGGAAAAATAAGCAAAAAGACAATAATAGAGTAGAGGCTTTAGATGTATCCCAGCACTTTATCCTCATGAACCATAAACTCAGTTTGTCCAGCACAAACCAAGTTTCTGATATGTTGTTTCTTCCCGGTTTAAGGTTCTTTTTATTTGCATAGGAATGGGGTTGCATGCATGCACTGTAGGTCTGTACTTTGCCCAAAGTTTTTATATCTTAATATATGCACACTTAACTATATTCATCTAGCCTCCACAGATGTCTCCTCTGTTCTCCTGCCTACATCTCTCTGGTAGGCTGTAATAAAGACACTACTTCCTGACAGATGTTTGTATCTTTGTTTTTGCAGTGAGAATGTATTTTCAGGTATTCATGTTTTAGTAAAGTGTCCATATCTCCTGTGCACTGTACATGTGCTTGTGTGGATAGTAACAAGGGACAATGTTAGAGGAGATAGAAGCTGAGAGAGTGAAGCAATATAGATTCACAATGAAGAAAAGAGGAGAGTGATTCAGGTGTTGTTTATCTGGCTGAAATTTGCAGCTGTAAGAAAGATCATACACAAGCACGTTCATGGCACACACATAAGTGTAGCTCTACAAGTGCTAGCGTGCCCACTGCCTACTTGAGTCCACTACTCGCACTGCTGTACATGAAGAGGGCAGAGACTCACACATTCCCTACAACAGCAGCTGTGGTGACACGAGAAGATGATGAGGGGGTATGTCAAACAGAGGAACACACAGACACACACATCATCCCCCCACTCAAACAAAGAAAGTTTAAGTGGATAACTGTTGAGTTACTGCTGCACAGAAAAATCAGACAGCAATAGATGCAGCTGCGTGCATTTGGCGTGCTTGTGTATAAGACTGTATCTTTATATCAAAATAGCCTTGTCTGCTGTTTACCTGCATGCATGGCTATATGTCCTACTTGGCCTTCAGTGCACATGAGGACAGACCACTCACCACTGTTCAAACAATTTACAGAGCTAACTGGAGAAAATGAGCCTAATCACTGATAAAGCAGCAGGAGAAACAAGGTTTGTACTATGTGAGAGTTGTTCAATGTTTTGCTAATCCACATTGATTTATTGGTTAAAAGTGACCCCACAATTATTATTTTAGTATAATTCAGTTTTTATTTAATTTACTTACTAAGTGCATCCGTATTCATTCAAATACAGCTAATGTTTAAGGACACAGTATTAATAGTATTGGATGCAGTAGAAATGTGTGTGGATGTGTTGCCAGATGGTATTTGTGAGCAGTGCTGAGCAAGTGCTGAAGCAGAAGCAAATGGAAGAAAACCACATTGTTCTTTTGTCTTGCAGTTCTTTTGTAGTAGTTGTAAAGAAGATGCTTGTAGTTTTAGCAGCAGAGATGAAGTGTTCTAGCAGACTGGAAAGTGCAGAAATAAAAGCCAATGAAAGGTAAATGACTGTAAGTCCCAGCATCTGCCTGAGTCTCTGTCTGCAACCATTATCTCACAAACGTTCATTAAAGTGAAGCAAACAGCCTCCACCTGGTTGTGTAACAAGTGACGTGCTTTGACTTTACACTGTAAAGACTAGTGTTGCACGATATACCGGTACTAGTATGGTACCGCGGTACTGAGGCATTTAAAACGGTACTATACTGCATTTGGATGGGACCGGTACTTGCTAAGTGCATCAGTATTCATTCAAATACAGCTAATGTTTAAGGACACAGTATTAATAGTATTGGATGCAGTAGAAATGTGTGTGGATGTGTTGCCAGATGGTATTTGTGAGCAGTGCTGAGCAAGTGCTGAAGCAGAAGCAAATGGAAGAAAACCACATTGTTCTTTTGTCTTGCAGTTCTTTTGTAGTAGTTGTAAAGAAGATGCTTGTAGTTTTAGCAGCAGAGATGAAGTGTTCTAGCAGACTGGAAAGTGCAGAAATAAAAGCCAATGAAAGGTAAATGACTGTAAGTCCCAGCATCTGCCTGAGTCTCTGTCTGCAACCATTATCTCACAAACGTTCATTAAAGTGAAGCAAACAGCCTCCACCTGGTTGTGTAACAAGTGACGTGCTTTGACTTTACACTGTAAAGACACTTTGGACATGGTTGATTTTGATTCTTTGTTCATTTCCACTGACACGTCTTGGGCAAAAGACATTTCTGCTGCAACCTCGGAGACTTTAATTTGTTAGCATTATTAGTGCACACCAGGAATAATATGTTTCTGTTTGTGCTCCATATGTTGCCTTGTGCTGGCACACACACTGGTCCAAATATGCTAGTCCCTGACCACTGTCATGATGGATTCTACCAGAAATGCATCTGTGAAAACCTAGATTATTTTTTCCCCCCTCTGCTAAACAATGATAAAAATGTTCCAGATGAAAAAAGGCACTGTATCAATAATCAAATCCAGGCCTCTAGCACAGGGTGTCTTCCAAATTCTAAATGATCGGACACTCTTGACTAGATGTTGGCAGACTGCCGCACGTTAGACATGGCGAGATCCCATCTATCATACATTTTAATGGTAAATAATCATTAAGATAAACAGTAGGGTATAATTCATTCAGCCTAAACCACTACAATTTCTCCTGTTCAGGATATTAGATGATGGCGCTCTCAACATCCTAATAGCGGTTTCACTGTGTCTCTTTCAACTGTGAGAATGTCTTTGTGAAATCTGACTCTTCAAGTGATACTTTATTGTCTCTGAGGAGACAATGTGTTCCACATGTGGTCACCACAGAGGGAGATGGAAATAAAGAGCTGAAGAAGGACACGGTTAAAGAGCTGTGGAAAGACAATGGGTCAAGGCAAAGATTCCCAGAAGCCCTGGTTTATCTCCGCAGCTGTGGGGGAAACTGGTGGGATGAGGAACAAAAAATTGGGCACTTAGTCACAGTGATGCATGTCTCTTTGATATGTTATCTTACCAGTGCCCAGTGGGAGGTATGAAGTATATGCAGCAGTGCACCCTGGAGTCTGGGATCCTCTTCTTCCTGTCGATGTTGATTTCCTCCTGTAGGTAGGTTTCATACTGGTCGTTGATAAACTTCATAATGGGCTGCCAGCTGACAGAGGTAACAGTTTAGGAATGAGAAGGAAACTTTATATTAGCCAGCAATCAAAACCTCTTCATTTGCTTAGTC